CCATAATAGCATCTGTTGGCCATCACAATCCTTCTCCGAATTTAAAAAACTGATGTCATTCGTTTTATTTATGGCGGTGCCAAGGTATATAAAATCTTTAACTACCTCGAAGCTGTAGTTCTCAAGTTCACAGTTCGAGTCCGAGTCTACTGGACGTCTTGCGCGTTGATACCATCAGCTTGGTCTTTTCGCCATTTACTGCCAGACCCACTTTGGCAGACTCCTTCTCAATTTGTTCAAAGGTGTCTATTACTGCACGCAATGTGCGATAGGCGAGTAACATGTGCTGTTTGGTGTACAGAGTGCCATTTCTGTTAACCTTTGCGTCTCGTACGACCGTTTCCAGTAGAATGTTAAGAAGATCACACGACAAACTGTCGTCTTTTCGGAATCCTCGTTCGGTATAGAAGGGCTCCGAGAGGTCCTTTCCGACTTTCACTGGTGACCTTGTGCCACTTAAAGTTATCCTGCATAGCCGTGTTAATTTTGCAGGAATGCCGAACGTAGACATGGATTTAAACACCTCTGAGCGGATAGGGCTGTCGAATGCGGCTTTATAGTCGACGTCTTTGTCAGGATTTGGCGCAGAGTGAAAATCTGGTCAATGGTGGATTTGTCAGGTCTGAAGCCACATTGGTATGGCCCAATAATGTCATTGATCATTGGCTTCAGTCGTTCACAGAGCACACTGGATAGCACTTTATATGCGATGGGAAGGAGACTTATTCCTCTATAGTTGGTACATATCGTCTTGTCTCCTTTTTTTGTACACGGGACACAGGATGCTGAGGTTCCAATCATTGGGCATGCATTCCTCTAGCCAAATTGTATTAATCAGTTGGTGCATGCTCCTGACCAGCATCTGACCATCAATCTTGAATAGTTCGGCGATTAATTGCTTTTATGACCTCATCTTGGCTAGGAGGTATACACTCTATACCGTCATCTATTATTGGTTCTGGGGTATCCACTTCACTGCTACTATTTGATACCAGAAGTTTTTCAAAATGTTCCTTCCAGATCCTTAGCTTGTTTGCGGGGGTCGTCAACATTAGAGGTGGGTTTAGTTTTCTTTTTCTTTGCTTTTTCATAGTTCGGTTCGGTTTTCCGAGTGTGGGCAACTAACCCGACGTGTTAACCCATTTTTTATAGTTCTTATGGGTGAACTCGCTGCCCATATTAGGTCACTATTTCAACGGGTGATGGGAATAGCTACGCCAGGTGACACCGCGGGGAGGTCAGTGTCCACAATTGAGATGAAAGAGGGACCAAGATACCTGACCTGACTTCGCCATGTTAAAGCCAATCCGAGGCTGTTACAGTAGTCCTGTTTTTTTTTTAATTAATTTTTCCCCACTTTTGCCCTCCACTGTACGCCAACACCGTTTGCGGCCAAAGTAATTACACTCTTCTTTGTTAGTCGATTTTCCATATATAGATGGATAGATGTGTAGACATGTATTTATATAGTCTTCCCATAAGTTAATATCAATGTAAACAAACAATTTGAAAGTAAACACAACAAAGTGGTGGGCAACGACGTTCACACACACACACACACAAACACACACTGGGCATACTAACCAATGTTGTTACAATGCATAGATGAAGTTGAAGGAAAACGTTGGGATCGGAGGAGCGTGGCAAAATCATTCAAATGAAATAGTTTACAAAAACAAAGTGGTGGTGGTGCTGTGGTGTGAGAGAGTGTGGAGGGCCCCATTTATTATTGACTTGTGGATATGGATGATGATGATGAAGATGAGGTCCAGGGTAAAGTGGTCGGTAGTAGGAATAAATGGAGGTGGAGGAGGAGATGGAGGAGGTTAGAGGTGTACTCTATAGGATGTGTAACAAATTGATGTTAGTGTTGATTGGCTTGGCAGTAGTAGTATTGAAAATGAACTTTCCCCCAACAACAACAGCAACAACAACAATTGTGTTTTAAGTTCATTTTGACTAATTAACAATTAATGGATGACACACGCCACCGCCATGCCATGCCACATTGACACACATTTTGGAGGAATATTTGCTCTCTCTCTGTACCTCTTTTATTCTCTCTGATTATCTCTCTCACATCCAATGGGAAATTTATTTAATTAGTTCGACGAAGTTAAGTGTTCGGTCGGATGGATGGTTGTCCGTTCGGCCAAGTTGATTTGTTGACGATACCTTTTCATTTATGGCCATTGACGATGGGTGCGTTCGAGATATAACTTCTTCTTCGTTTGGCTTGGCCGCCTTCTTCCTCCTCTAATGGGTTTTCTTGTCTCCCTCCCTCTCTCTCTTATCAAGATGTTATTTGTTGTTATTGTAAATAAACAAAGTGCATTTTATTTTTTATTATTAATGATGTTTAGTTTTAATTTGATAAATGGAAATAGATAAAATAAAGGGGCCAGAGGTCTGGTGAGGAGGGGAGCGGAGCGGAGGAGGAGGTTGGGGTTACTCCTCTAACCCATTTGTTAAATAACAAAAGAAAAACACCACTCAATTTAATATCTTTAATATAAAATAGGAAATTAATTGTTCAGATAATGTAGAGAACGTATTTATTTTATCTCGATAATGTATAGATAAATATATTATAATTTAGATAAATTATCTACTTCATATGGAGAATTCTTATACTTGATTTGGGCTTTAAGAATAATTGATTTCGGTCATAGTATAAAAATAATATCATTAACGTTATCTAGATAATTTATCTATATCATTTAGATGACATAGATAAATTATCTATGCCCGTATGTTTGCTTTTTTAGGTGCTCCATGCTAATTAAATCACATAGATACATTATCTACGTTATATAGTGTTAAAAATAACCCAAATTCACGTTATCTAAAAGGCATAGATAAATTATCTATGCTAATCAAATGATGCAAATACTTTATTTTCATTACCTGCGGAACATATAAACAGTATTCGTGTAATTTAGAGTACAAAAATAAATTATATATAGCAGTTAGATGGCATAGATAAAAATTATCTATGCTATTTAGATGATGTGAATTCATTATGCACATTATCTGGGGACCAGATATGCAATATTAATGTGTTTTAGATTACAAAGATAAATAATCTAGATCAGTTAGATAAAGTAGATAAATTATCTATGTTCTTGCAATGACTTTTTGCATTTTTGAGTACAAAGATAAATTATCTGTATAATTTAGATGATGTAGATAAATTATGTATGTTCTTACGATGTCTTTTTTGCACTTTCTATGCTAATTCAATTATGTAGATATATTATCTACGTTATCTAAAGCTTCTAAATGCTTTATCTGAATGTTATCTTGTAGTACCGTCATGTCGTAGTTATATTATAAAAGTTATCTACGATATTTACTTGATGTAAATACATTAACTACCCTATTCGGATGACGTAGATGAATTATCTAGTTTTTTTTAAGATACATCCAGATAAATTATATAGATTTCTATGCTATTTAGAGTACTTTAAAGTGGTCAGCTGGACAATAATTACCTCTTTTTTGTCCATAGATAATTATCTAGATAACTTTAATACTACTGCTATGCCACTATAACGTAATCTTTTTGTCCATAGATAATTATCTAAATTATCTAGATCACTTTAATACTACTGCTATGCCACTATTAAGTAATTTGACACTTTATCTATGTATATTAGAGTATAAAGACAATTTATCTACCTTATCAAGATAACTTAGATCATTTATCTAACTTATATGGAGTTCAACAAATTGTAAAGATACTCTTTTGAGTACATTTAAGAAATTAAATAAAAATTTTCCGATATTTTCGAAATAAGTTTGAGGTTATATTCAGTAATTTTCCATAGATAATTTATCTATGTTATCTAAAGCACTTTACTATGCCACTATTAAGTATTTCAAAACTTTATATATGTAAATTAGAGTATAGGAATAATTTATCTGAGTTATCTTAATTGCATAGATAATTTATCTACTTTATCAGAACCCCTAAAAAATCGCACCTATGCTTTTTTGAGTATATTAAACCGATTAGATGGACATTATTTTCCTATTTTCCCAAAAATTGAGAAAATTGCCAGGTTATATTAAATTTTTTTCATCGTAGATAATTTATCTAAGTTATATAAAACACTTTAATACTATTATTATGTCATTTTAAGAACTTTGATACATTATCTATGTATATTACAATATAGATAAAATTTATCTGCGTTGTCTAGATAGCATAGATCAATTATCTACATTATCTAGAGTCTGCATATAATTATATATGCTAATTTAAGCAATTTTATACTTTATCTATTATAATTTGAGTGCATAGATAATTTATTTGAGTTATCTAGATTACATAGATAATTTATCTAACATCTCTGGAACACAAAAAATCGTATCTATGCTCTCTTGGGCGCATAAAAGAGGTCCACTGGACTACAATGTTCCATTTTTTTTCGATAAATACACAATTTTGTTTATAGATAATTTATCTAAGTTATCTAAAACACTTTTAATACTATTTTTATGTCAATTTAAGTTCTTCGGCATCTTATATTTGTATTTTAGCGTACATCGATAATTTATCTTAGTTATCTCGGTTGCATAGGTAATTTATCAGCTATTTTGACTGTATCAAATTGATTTCTTGCATGTATTCAAGAACCTAGGCAACATTTTTTTCGAAAAATTTGAGGTTAAAAATTTTTTTTTTTGATGTTATGTTGAAATTTTTGAGGTTTTGTTAATTTTTTTTCTAATTGTTTTTTCTCTCTTAATTTTTCAGACAAAAATTGATTTGCTTCGTTTGATAATCGTCACTAAGTCAACGGCCATCCAAATGTTTTGTACAACAACAAATACCAGAATAACAAAAACAACAACACCAACAATAACAACAACAATTTTACAATACTCATATGTGGACCAACAACGATAATATAGTTTTTCATCATTATTTAATTTGAATCCACCACACCACAGCAGCAGCAGCAACAACACGATTTTTTATTGCATCGAGACACCGCCAATGTCAATGTCGAATAACGGCATAAATAGCGCTACGAATGGGCGCACCAACAGTGCCAACAATACAACAATTCATGCCACAAGCGGAACAACAAATGTCATTGCCAATAAACCAGCCACTAACCATCATCACCCTCAGCAGCAACAACAACAAATGGCAGGAAGCAGTAGCAACAGTAACAGTGGTGGTGGAGGGTGTGGAGGTTCCACCGCTCAAATTAAAACGTCAATTAATCTCAAAACGAATGACTTGCGAACAAAAATTGCAACAACAAATGTCACACTGCCGGATGGTGGTGGCAAAAGTCACCACATGTCCTTGAAGGCAAATAACAACGATCATCAGTATCAGCAGCAGCAACAATTTGTAAATACTAAAAAATCCGCAATGAACTCGTCGAATTCATCGTCAGCCAATCCGCCACCACCGCCATCGACCCATGTAAATAGATTACCCTCCCACACCCATCGGCGTGATAGTTCGAATGTTAGCGGCCATAATACCCATACGGGTATTGTTCCGCAAAGCCTAAAAGATGCCTCTAAATATAGATATATACGACCACAGACTGTGTATCGGGCTGAAGAAGAAGAACACGATGAAGTAGATCGTGTGGTGGTGAGTAGGGATGAGTCGTCGGGGCGAAATCGTGATCTATTGGTCTATTATGATGGTCAATTGGAGGGTGGAAGCCTGGAGGCTTTAATTGAGCATATGGTGCCCACCCACGATTACTATCCCGATCGGATTTATACATTTTCATTTTTGCTAAGTGCGAGGCTATTTATAAGACCCCATGAATTGCTGGCCAAAATATCACAAACATGGGAGAAACAACAACAACAGCAGCAGCCGCAACAACCCCAACAGTCTGGTACTGTTGTCCTACCCGGCTCTGCTCCAGATCAGATAGATGCTGATGCTGGTCATTTCAATCAAGTCACGGCAGCCGGCTCCACCAACTCGCCACTCACACAAAGAAAACCAGGCACCTCAGGAGGCGGAGGAGGTGGAGGAGGTGCCACCACAAATACCCAAAAATCGGCCCAAAATTGTATACGTCTGCTGGCGGAATGGATTGAAACATTTCCCTATGACTTCCGTGATGAACGTCTAATGCAACAGGTGCGGATTCTAACCCGCAAATGTGTCTACATTGATAACTCCTTGGGCAAGCAGGTCTCCAAGATATTACAGCTGTTGGTTCAACGTTTGACCACCCTGGAAAAATATGAAGAATTTCTGCAATCTCTACAGCAATATGATCTCAATACAACACTACAACCCCATTATAGTACATCCGCCTCGGCTTCATATTCATCGACCTCCTCCTCCGCATCGGCCTCATCCAACTCGAATACCCATAATTCCCTAACCAAAGCCTCTGTACAGGCCTTGAACAGCCATCTGCATCATCATCCGGACTCCTCGTATCATAAAAATAATTATGCTCAATATAATAATTCCACCCTGCCGCAGGCATCGGGACTACCATCAGCTGCAGCAGCAGCCCAACATTCATCATCATCCTCCACCTCCACATCATCGAATGCCACCGGCACCGGGTCCGATTCTCCCAATGCTCATGATGTTTTTGGTATTATGGACTTGTGTCCCAGTTGTGCTCAATTAGCTCATCAATTGACGGCCATCGAATTGGATCGTCTCTCACACATTGGACCCGAGGAGTTTGTTCAGGCCTTTGCCAAGGAATATCAAAATTCCATTTCGAACAAGGAAAGCACTAATAATGCAGGGTCAACAGGAGGTCACATAATGAATACCTCCCTAAATGACATGAAGAAGACCCGAAACTTGGAATCCTATGTGGAATGGTTTAATCGTTTAAGTTATCTAACCGCCTCGGAAATTGTAAAGGTATGGGTATTCAAAATTTTTATTTTTTTGGAAATTTGTTAAATAATTTTTTCTTCTTCTTTTTCTTTTTAGTATCCCAAAAAGAAACAACGTGTCCGCGTCATTGAGTACTGGATCGAAACGGCCCGTGAATGTTTTAATATTGGCAATTTTAATAGCCTGATGGCCATAATAGCTGGTCTAAATTTGGCACCCATATCAAGGCTAAAGAAAACTGTAAGTTCGGCGAGCAAAACCCCAACTTCTGATTTAGATTGAAAAGTGTTGAAAGTAAATATAAAAAATATAGTGAATATTGTTTAGGCCCACTGTAGGGAAATGGTTAGGATTACAACTGTTTACTATGAATTTTCGAAAAGAGCATCGAAAATGCTTCTATAACAATATTTTTCGGAAGTTGTAACACTTCTGAGATTCCCACAATAACCTCAATTTAATTGAATACAAAAGAAAAGTTAAATTTAAACAGCCAATACAAAGGTGAAATCCGTTTGGGTCCACTGTAGAAAAATGGTGAGAGTTAGAACTTGTTGGTATGCATTTTCCGAAAGAGCATCAAAAATGCATCTAGACCAATATTTAACAGAAGTTGTAACCCTTCTGAGATTCCGACAGTGGTCTGATTTAAATACAACCTAGAGTAGACTGATTTTAATTTGAAATTGAAATTCGTTTAGGCTCTCTGTGAGATAATGGTGAGGGTCAGAACTTGTTGGTATGCATTTTTGGATAGAGCATCAAAAATCCGTCTTGACCGATATTTGACAAATGTTGGAACCCTTCCGAGATTCCGACAATAGCCTCCATTAAATTTGATATAAGCGAATATTAAAATTTAATCTACCCTTATAAAGATGAAATTCGTTTGGGTCCACTGTAGAATAATAGTGAGGGTTACAACCTTTTCGGAAAGAGTATCGAAAAGGCTTCTAGATCAATATTTAACAGAAGTTATATCGCTTATGATATCCCGACAGTAGCCTCAATTAAATTGAATATAAACGAATATTTAATCTACCGATATACAGGGAAAATCAGTTTGGGTCCACTGTAGAATAATAGTGAGGGTTACAACCTTTTAGTGTATATTTTCGGAAAGAGTATCGAAAGTGCTACTAGATCAACATTTTTTAGGAGATGTAACCCTTCGGAGTTTCCGACAGAAGAATCATTTGAATTTAATTACTTAAATTTAATACGCCCTTATAAGATGTATTTTGTTTGGGTCCACTGTTGGAAATCCGTAAGGGTTTCAACGTTTTAGTATGCATTTATGGAAAGAGCATCGACAAATCGTCCAGACCTGTATTTTTTAGAAGTTCTAACCCGAGATTCCGGCGGAGGGCCCAAATAAATTTAATATAAAATAAAATTTAATCTGCCTATAGAAGAGACAATCATTTGGGTCCACTGTCAGAAAATGATGAGAAATTTTCGGTAAGAGCACCGAAAATACTACTAGACCAATATTTAACACAAGTTGTAACTCTTCTGATATCCCGACAATAGCCTCAATTAAATAAATATAAAAAAAATCAACATTGAATCTGCCCATATAAAGGTGAATTCCGTTTGGGTCCACTACAGGAAATTGGTTAGAGTTACAATAGTTTGACTTGCATTTTTGGAAAGCGTATCGAAAAAACTGCTAGACCAACAATTAACGGAAGTTCGAACCCTTCTGAAATTCTCACAGTGGATCGATTTACATTTAAGATTTAATTTCCCACACTAATTTATTTTTTCTTTTTCTATTTTTTTTTGCCCGAACAGTGGTCTAAAGTCCAATCGGCCAAATTCTCCGTATTAGAACATCAAATGGATCCAACATCGAATTTTAATAGCTATCGCTCAACGCTTAAAGCGGCCATGTGGCGTTCCGAGGGTGCCACCGAAGAACGTGAACGTATTATCATTCCATTTTTTAGTTTATTTGTTAAGGATTTATATTTTCTCAATGAGGGATGTTCGAATAGGTAAGTAACTTTATTTTTTTAATTTTTTTTTTTTTTGGAAAAAAATCCTAAATTTGTTTTATTTTCTTTCAGATTACCCAACAATCATATCAATTTTGAAAAATGCTCCCAGCTTGCCAAACAAGTTATGGAATTCAATGAATGGAAACAGGTGTCCTGCCCCTTTGAGCGACTGCCAAATGTAATTGACTATTTGCAAAATGTCCCAGTACTCAATGAGAATACGCTGTCGATGGCCTCATTCGAATGTGAACCACCGGAGAATACCGAGGAAAAAGATCGTTATAAAACGGTGAAGGCTGAAAATAAACAACAGCTACTGCAACAATTGCAAGAAGAACAAATGCGACAGCAGCAGCAGCAACAACATCAGCTGCAACAGCAACAACAAACACAACACTAAAAATAAGAAAATAAATTGTAGTATTGTATTGTGGTATTTTTAGTTTAGTTTCAAATTTATTTTTGTTTAGATATTTTAATTTTTTTCAAACTACTCTCAATAAGCTTGCCATGTTTTATTTTTTTAATTATAATAATATTTATATATACAAACACAGATTTTTTACAGTGTATATAACACTGTAACAAATAACGATATTTAAGGATATTATTTTTAGTTTTAATTTCTAAGAGAGGGATAGCAAGAGAGAAAAATAATGCCGCCAATAATCATCATCATCATCATGGCAATAACTTCAAAAGTTATTGTGCGAGATATTTTTTTAAAAAAATAACATATAAATTATATAGTCGTATTTGCTTATATTAGATTGTAAGAAGCATATTTTTTTCATGACAAAAAAACAAATTTGCCAATAACAAAAATGAGAAAGAGAAAAGTGAAACACAAAACTGCTTAAACAATTTTTTTAAATTCAAATTAAAACGCTTTTCTCTAGCTCGCTGGATATTGTATAACAAACAATTGAGAAGAATGCCAGTAATGTAAACAATTATTTATATATATTTTCTGTCGTATTACTTATGTACTTAATGCATTTATAACAATATATTGTTTATAACTTATTTATAATATCGAAAAAAAAAACAACAACAACAACTATATTTTTTAGATTACAAAAACACAAATTGCAACCATGACTCGATATATTTTTGAAATAATAATCTCAATCATTTTTATCTTTATTGGATAAATGAAAACAACAACAAAAATTAATTTAGAAAACGAAGTTTTTTAATACACAGACAAAACAGAGCATGAGAGTTGTATTTATATATATTTAAAAAATTTTATTGTAATATTTGTTTAAGTCCTTTGGGTGTTTGGGAAAAGGTTCTATTAGGCAAGCAGAAGGTCATTATAGAGGAGATAAAAGCATGGAGTTTTTTATTGATGACTTAAAAGAAGAGTTTAAGGTCTCATATATGGAGAATTTCGTTAATGGCACCTGTGAGCAAATGATGAGGATTAGAATTTTGTTAGTTTGAATTTTCGTAAAGAGCATCGAAAATACGTATGGACTAATATTTAATAGTAGTTTTAACCCTTCTGAGGTTCCGACAATAGCCTCAATTAAATTTAATATAAAACACAATTAAAATTAACTCTATCCATATAAAAGGAAAATCCGTTTGGGTCCACTGTCCGGAAATGTTGAGGGTTACAATTTTTTGGTATGGATTTTCGAAAAGAGCATCGATATTACGTCTAGACCAATATTTAACATAAGTTGAAATACTTCTGACATTCCGACAGTAGCCTCAATTAAATTTAGTATAAAAGAAAATTTAAATTTAAACTTTCCCATATAAAGGAGGAATTCGTTTGCGTCCACTGTGGCAAAATGGTGAGGGTTAGAACTTTTGCTATGCATTTTCAGAAAGAGTGTCGAAAATCAGTCTAGACCAATATTTAACAGGGGTTGTAAACCTTCTGAGATTCCGACAGTAGCCTCAATTATATTTAATAAAAAAAAGAAAATTAAAATTCTATCATCCCATGTAAATGATAATCAGTTTGTGAAAGGCTATCGAAAATCCATCTAGACCAATATCTATCAGAAGTTGGAACCCTTCTGAGATTCCTATAGTAGCCCAATTAAATTTAATTTGTATAAAAGAAAATTAAATCCTCCCATATAAACGTGAAATCCGTTTGCGTCCACTGTGGCAAAATGGTGAGGGTTAGAACCTTTGGCTATGCATTTTTGGAAAGACCATCGAAAATCCGTCTAGACCAATATTTTTTAGGAGTTGGAACCATTCTGAGATTCCTATAGTAGCCTCAGTAAATTAAATATGGTGAAATTTATTTGGGCCCAATATTCGGAAATGGTGGGATTGACAACTTTTTGATATACATTTTCGGAAAGAGCATCGAAATTACGTCTAGACCAATATTTAACAGAAGTTGCAACCCTTCTGAGATTCCGACAGTAGCCCCTATTAAATTTAATATAAATGAAAATTAAAATTTAATCTGAAATCTTTTTGGGTCCACTGTGACAAAATGATGAGGGTTAGAATTTTTTGCTATACATTTTTAAGAAGGTCATCGAAATTCCATGTAGGCCAATATTAAACAGAAGTTATAATCCTGCCACACTTATAGTAAATCTGGCCACAAAAAAGACGTTCTACTATAAAAGTAGAACTTTTTCCAACACCCAATCCCCTAATTAAATAAATGTCACTTAATTTTGGGATAATTTGTGAAGTCAGATTTTCTATCCATTTAGATAGAAATTTAGAATTTTGTTTCGAACTTCGAATTTTTTTTCCAAAATTATATTCAAAATTTTTCCGAACTTCGAAAATTTTTTCCAAAATCATTTTCGAAATCCGATTTTTTTTTTCAAATTTTTTTTTTTCGAAAAATTTTCAAAATCATTTTCATTCAAGAAATATGTTTATATATATTTTTAATTTGAAAAATTCTTAAAGATCATTTTCGAACTTGGAAAAATTTGTTCAAAATCATTTTCGAACTTCGAAAATGAAATTATCTTCAAACTTCGAAAATTGTTTTCAAAATTTTTTCAAACTTCGAAAATTTTTCAAAATCATTTTCAAAAAATAAATCTTTATATTATATATTTTCAATTTGAAAAATTCTTAAAAATCATTTTTATTTGTAAATTTAGTCGATCTTTGAAAATTTTTTCAAAATCATTTTCGAAATTTTTCGAACTTCGAAAAAAATAATTTTCATATTAGAAAACAGTTTTTTTTTATTACAATTCTATGTATTTTTGTAATTCGAAATTTCTGAAAATTAATTTTCGAACTTCAAAATTTTTTTTAAATTTAAATTTTTGCATTAATCCCAAAACATACTGACATTTAATAATAACAATTTATAACCACCACCTCCCCTTGTCTCAATTTATGTCTATTTATTTATTATACCTACACCTACCCTACCTAACTCGAATAATCTAATCATCCTACTCAGTTCTTAATATATTTGTATATTTTTTATATATATACATTTTTTTGTTTGTTTATATTTTATGCCATAAGATCCTTTACATAATATCCTTCCATAATCCTAAAGTCTTAATTTTAATTTTTATTTATATATAAGTTATGCCAGTATTTATATTATATACATATATAAAAAATACACAAACACAGAGAGAAAAATAAAAACAAATGTATTTATATACTATTTATATTTAATGTAAACACGATACAACAACAAAAACAAAGAAACAAGAAAAATTATTAAAAATATAAATAAAAAATAAATGTTTAATTTTTTTTTTTTTTTATTTTTAAATTTAAAAAAATTTAAAAAATTGATTTTTTGGGAAAAATTATTAAAAATATAAATAAAAAATAAATGTTTAATTTTTTTGTAATTTTTATTTTTTAATTAAAAAAAAATTTAAAATTGATTTTTGGGAACCTTTTTCTAATTTTCTTCTAAGGTCTCTATTTATTATTTTTTTTTTAATATTTTTTTCTGACGCACCCCATTCCAATCCTATATTCATTCGAATATCCTTAATGCTGTACAGATCAACCCCCTCCAGATGCGGAAGAAGAAGAAGTCTCTACTCTACTAGATGCCTCTCTAACTTAAAATTAATAATTAAAGAAAATATTTTCTTATTAAAAAAAAAAAAAATAAATATGTACACTGTCACAACAACAACAAGAAACACAGCCATATTTATTATATATAAAAACACAAAAACTATATAGAATTTATATAATAAAAAAATCCTTTATACAGACATATACCGAACACTGAAAACAGGATAAATTAGAAAAAAAACAATATTTTTTACGAAATTTGGAAATTTTGGAACTTCATGGGGAAAATTAAAAAATATTTATATTTTTAATAGGAGAGGATTTTTTAAAAAAACATTTCATGGAGCTACCATAGGCGTGGATTTTTTTTTAAATATTTTTTCAAGTAACTACAATAGGCGCGGATTGTTTAAAAATATTTTTTCAAGTAACTACAATAGGCGCGGATTTTTTAAAAATATTTTTTCAAGTAACTACCATAGGCGTGGATTTTTTAAAAATATTTTTTCAAGTAACTACCATAGGCGTGGAATTTTTAAAAATATTTTTTCAAGTAACTACCATAGGCGTGGATTTTTTAAAAATATTTTTTCAAGTAACTACCATAGGCGTGGATTTTTTAAAAATATTTTTTCAAGTAACTACCATAGGCGTGGATTTTTTAAAAATATTTTTTCAAGTAACTACCATAGGCGTGGATTTTTTAAAAATATTTTTTCAAGTAACTACCATAGGCGTGGATTTTTTAAAAATATTTTTTCAAGTAACTACCATAGGCGTGGATTTTTTAAAAATATTTTTTCAAGTAACTACCATAGGCGCGGATTTTTTAAAAATATTTTTTCAATTAACTACCATAGGCGTGGATTTTTTTTTAAATATTTTTTCAATTAACTACCATAGGCGTGGATTTTTTTTTAAATATTTTTTCAAGTAACTACAATTGGCGCGGATTGTTTAAAAATATTTTTTCAAGTAACTACCATAAGCGCGGATTTTTTAAAAATATTTTTTCAAGTAACTACCATAGGCGCGGTTTTTTTTAAATATTTTTTCATTTTTGTTTGCAGAAAAATTTTCCCCATTTATTTCCAAAAAAATACAATCCAAATTTTAATGAAAAGAAACTCATACCCCAACAAGCAAAAACTCTACTTTGTAAAATTTTGATATTAACAAAAAATAAAAAAACAACAATTTATACATATTTATATATATATTTTGTGTGTGGTAGCAAAACAGCAAAAATACATATTTATACATACATATATTTTTGGGTAAAAATTATAAAAAAATTTTGGTTTTGAAAAAAAAAATCGAAAAATTGATAATTGAATTTATCATTAAAACAACATTCTTGTA